TCCAAGATGAGAATTTAAGGCATGTTTATAAATTAGAAAAGAACATGCAAATTTAATGCTCCAAAGGCATCAATACATGTATGTGTTTAATTTTATTTTGTGATGGCATGGAGAACATTGGTATAGTTTGTCATATATCACGAAAATAAATTAAATGTGATGGAATTTTCTTTCTTATACATATAAGAAAGATATGAATTATGGAGATACAATGCTATCATCCAATTAATTCATTATTGGTTAAAGACAATGAATATATTTTTGCTTCTTGTACCTAAAAAATGACATTTTGTAAGCTATTAAAATAAAAAGTGAATAAGTTTTCGAGGTTTTCAATAATTTCATAACAATGGTAAGGATGTAGCTAGTTATATACTATATTAACACATGGGCTTAGATAATAATATTGATTTGTGAATACTGTAAGCCTTAAAATTAGCCAATCAATGATTTAACCAATACAAATTCATCACGAATTTTTGCATAAAATATGAGTAGAACTCATATTATAATTATTGTTTATACTATTTTATGAAAATGATTCTTTGGATTCATGTTTCATTACTTGCATTGATACGGTGATCTAGATATGAACATATTGGTCACAAAATGATTATGAACGTATTTGAAATTGAAGTTCAATATACTATGAACTCTTATTGTATATAAGCATATTGGTCCTATGAGTAAAGTTTGAATTTATTATATTTTCGAAAATGTTATGACCAATTAAAAGTGGTAAATAACAGAGATATATAGGCTACACAATGGTGAAGAAATAAAGTTCTCATAAAATTTTGAAATTAAGTTTAGATGTTTCAATAATCATGAACTTGGAATTAGCCAATGGGCAATTACTTTATGTATTGAAAACTCATGATAACATTTGAGATAGTTAATTTTCACTAAAAGCCATCATTATAAATAAGATAAATTTAATAGCTAAATCTACATGATTTTTAGGTATGAGATGGATTATTATGGTTGGCTTAGAATAGCCATAAGCCAAAATTGATGTCACAATCTTGATCTCGTTATGATAATTTTTTATTATGTATATAGTCTAAGTCATTGATTGTACAAATGATTTATCATCTATAGTTTTTTATAGTGAAAATTTTAAAGTATATTTACTTTGAAAGCCATGAGTGATTCAAAGGTCTTAAGAATTTGAAAACTATTATAATAGCAAAAAGAATGCTATTTGATCCATTTAGGTGATGAAAATGGTTTTGTTCATAGTAATAAAAAATTATTAATAGTGTCCATAATGAAATACATTCATATAAATATTTATGAATTGATATAAAAGTCTTAAAAGGAGACTATAAAAGCATGATTATATTTGAAATTTGTTTATTGATATAAACTCTTATATTGAGTTAAAATATAAAATTTTAAAACTTTTATTGATATCAGCTAGTTATCTTTCACTAAGGGTGAATTTGGAGGCCCCTACTTAAAAAAACCACCAAATAATGAAAAGATAAGTGAAATGACAACTTGATTAAATATATATGATATCTTGATAATTGAATGAGATTTTTTTAATAAAAGAATGTATACTTGCACATAGTGGGGATAATATGAATCAAAATAAATAAAAATTACCATCATAGTATTGTAAGATTTTAGTATAATTTTATGAGTAAATTATACAAAGTAATAAGTTTAGACACTTATTAAAGTAAAATCATAAAAAAGGTCTTTAAAAATCTTAAAAGGACTAAAATCATTTGATTTATTCATTGAGTTTATTCAATTATACTAGAAGTATAACTGTATTAAAAATGTATAAAAGTATGAAAATAGAATGGTTGAAATTAATGAATATAGAATTGTGCCATAACTAAAATCAATTATTTCTTAAAATGATAAGAATGAGGCAACATTGTCTGAAGTATATAAATGATATGCAAAATGAAAAGTTTGGATATATTAGCCTACAGTGATTATATTAAATATTTAATCTCAAGTTGGGGTAATTACTATAAAAGGCAATTTAATTCTAAGATATTTGGTTAGTAGTACTACAAGTAGAATGGATTTAAACCTTTACTATTATACACTAATAATGGGAACCCAATTTTGAATTAGTAACCTCTAATTACAAAGTTTAATGGGTAAAAAGAAGTTATTGTTATATGTCTATTAAGCACTAGTAAAATTCATTCAGATTTTAGAAACTAGTGTGATCCATTACGTGGAGAAGATGAATTTTTATACTCTTAATGGAGTTTTAAATGTCTAAAGCAATGGAGATATAATGAAAAATCTATCTATATAAACATAGAAGCGATGTTACTTCAACAAAAAAATTGAGATCTCTCTTATAAATATTTATGAATAGGATAAGCACATGACCATAATAGTGCTAAAGCGGTTATAAACCTCTAACAAAAAAATAAATAAGTACTATGTGTGTTATATCTTCAATTCTAATACTAGAAGTTGATGTTTAATCTGTGGATACCATCAACTTCATTAGAATTCCAAGATATATACGCTAATTGAAGTTTAAATCAAGAACACCTTCTTGTATTCATAATATTTATTTGTGTGAAAGATAAAATTAAGCACCAACATTCCAAACTAATTAGGTATTGTTAGTAGTTTAGAATATGGTACATCCTATATTTGATAGAAAGATTTAATTATTGATAAATAAAATTAATTTTTGTATTAATTTTATTTATATTTTAAATAATTATGTTTGAATAGGAATAATTATCATATGACAAATGATCATAACTATTTGAATATAAATAAATTATTATTCATAAAGGTCATGATTATACTGAAAGTCGTAACTATTTGAATAAAAGTTTATGTCTACTCATTTATTATAAATAAATCTTTTAGTAAAATCATTTTTTTTGTTTCTGATTGGAGAGTTTGAAGTTTTGTTGTATCTTAAATGCATAATTACTTTTAAAAAAATATTATTCACGCCTCAAAATCAAAATTTTTTTTTATTATTACTCTTCTCTTACTTATTTTTTCCAACAAACAAGGCCATTAATCAATGAGTTTGATTATGCTCTATATAAGCTATATAAGACAAACAATACTTTGAAAATATGGTAACCCTACGGTTTATCAGTTCAAATTATATGAGCTTAAACAAATATATAATTAAGTATAATTATAATACATATCCTAAAATAAGATTAATAAGCTTAACTAAACAGTTGATCAATTGGTTAGATAAAAGTTGAAGCATTCGATCAAGGGAACATTTTGTGTATAAATTAAGAATACAAGGCCATAAGTTATTGGTATTAAAATTAGAAAGAAATACTCATGTTAGGTAAACCTACTAATTAGAACATAAACCCTTGGTAAAGTGGGTCCCAAGGATACTTCCCCAAGGGTGCGCTTGCCTCTAATCACCATGATTGCACTCACGGCCTCTTCCCAGGTATGCCTATTTATTGACATAATGAAATTTTGATTATTCTAAGCGAAGTCATAATGCTATCCGTTCCAGGTGATCTGCATTTGGACCAAAGAGATGTAGGAAAGGAATCCTTGTAGACTTTTTGCTTAATTGGTTTTACATCTAATAATTTGTGTTATTATATAAAATATTATATTCGAATAGTATTTTATATAAAAATTATTTATCAAAATTTGTAACATAAAAATATAAAATATAATTTTTTGATTTTATTAAATTTATTTATAAATTTTTAAAAAATTTTAAATTATATTATTTTTATATTTTTTATTCATACATTATATTTCAAATAAATTATCTAGTCTAACTAGTTCTTTCGCTTGCATCTTACGAGCTAACATTATTTACATGTTTATAAACTAAGAGATGATGACAATAGTTGCAGGAAGCAATCATCTTGGTTTTGGAAGAAATAGATTGACCCTGTTGCATGCTGTGACTCCAGGCCGATAATAATATATTATATAAGAATGTCATATAGAAACAACCCCCTAACAATTGCTTTCTTATAATTTAATATCCCTTGTAGGAAAATGGACACCATAGGGTTCAAATTTGTATGTATATTGGTCTTTGATAGGTATGAAAGAAGAATGTATAAAATTCAGGATAACCCGCATTTCAATGCCTTTATCAGATTGTCAAATGAAGTTGCTCTATTATTGTGGCTCAGTAAACATTGAATAATCAAAAGAAAAGTTAACCACCCCCGAGCAAACTATGCGTTTCCAGAATAAATTATCATTCAGTCATCGGAACTGACAAGAATTAACCACCGCAGTTAGGGAGTTAATTTTATCTAAATCGAAAATTTGACTTTTTATGTTAATAGAATAGAAATGGATATGATTATAAATTTTTTATCAAATATAGATATGAAAATAAATAATATAATAGTCATCCCTTATTCATATTTTATATATTTTATATATTTAACAAATTAATTTTTATTTAATAATATAAATTTTATTTTAGATTAATTAGAATAAATATATAATTTTATTTTAAATTAATTAAAACTAATATATTTATATTTAAAAATATATATTTATAAAAAATTATATAAATATACAATATAAAAAAAGCTAAAAAATGCTTTTTTTTTATCTTTTTATAAAAGCTTCTTGTTCGGAAGTTATCTATACATATTAAATACCTACAGAAATGAAAATAAGGATGAATTTGAAATATTCATTGAATATAAATACAAAAATTAATATAATATAAAAAATCAAGAATAAGAATGAGGATTAAAAATATTTTACGGTCTCGTATCCTATCTATTGACATTCCTATTCGAATTAATTTATTGCATCAATAATATACGTGAAGTATCGTAGATAGAGCTGAATTCCAAGTTGTAATAAAAATTTTGATTGCGCAATGAGGAAAATGCCTACATTAGGATGATCAAAAAGTTATAGTACTAAGTTTTCTTGATAACAGTCTCGGCATATACATCATTCTTTGGAAAAAGATCAGCATCAGAACAGAAGCAGGATCACACTCCCTAGAGAAAAAAACAAAAGGATGATTCAGCTTAGTTCCTCATCATTCTAAGGGCAAGTGCTTGTAGTTCACCCAAATCACTATTATATGGTCTCTTCTTAGGATAACCTTGGAAAGAAAACTCCTCTCTGCTTTGTATTTCTTGCATATTCATGCTATCAGCACTGTTGAGTTCAATCGACTCAAGTGAGCTTTGTGGGGAGATTGGATTTATGTAGCTTGGATAAGTTGGAATGGAAGGGACACCAGAAAGGTTTCCGTGCCACTGACTCTGTATGTTATGTGAATTCATAGCATTTATTTGAGCTTTGACTTGCATTAATTGAGTTTGCAGGCATGCCACCTATGAAATCAAGAAAAAAGAATATGCAAGAAGATTAGAAAATGGTTGCATAATCATAACTGTATGTCGATACTTTGTTAAAGTTAAAGACAACCATAAAGAAAAAAAGAAACTCTGTTGGCAAAAACTCTTGCAAAACAACTCATCGGTCATGAAAGAAGGTGGTGAGGAGGGGCAATTTAAGAAGTTTGATCTTTACGAAATGAATGTTAGCCGACATGTAAAAACTTTTAGAAATGTTCAAATTAGTGCATGGGAATATTTGTTCTAACTATATATGCAAAACTTCCCTGAAAAGAAAAATAATAATCTTCTAACCTGTTGTTGCAAGGCGAAAATATGAGCAACGCAACCATAAACAGGATCTCTTATCCTTGCTTGAGCTTCATAAGCAATAGTGACAACCGCCTCACAACGATCATGAGCTGGGATATGCAACAATAATTTGGACACATTGCTGGCACCAAAAACTTTATGAATGGCTGCAAACCTTGCAGGGCCTTGTTCTGAACAGAAATAAGGCGCAAAAATACAGTCAGAGGCACATTTTCGTCTCAGAAACTTGCATGCACCACAAGGGGAGCTGGTTCCAGTGGCAGTGCCAGAGCCAGATGACGCCATGGAAGAGACTACAGAGAGAAAAAGATAAAGAGTTTTGAGAGATCAGTAGAGATCAGTAGCTAGACCAGGAATAAGAGAGCAATAATCTTAAAATTTTCAAAGCACACGAGTACGCTAGGAAATGATGCTAAAAAAAAAAGGGGTTTGGGGAGGAGGGATGATTGTTTGGCAAGGTGAGAGTGGGGCTGTTGGGGGCTCCTTAAAAGGGGCACAACGAATGGGGTAGTCTTATAAGAAGTGTGAATGGGGGGACATTGAAGGCCTTTATGAAGGGTTCTGAGGGAACATTTATTAATGGTCTATGCAATATGGGGATTGTTTTTTAATGGTTAGATCAAGTTACTACTCCCTCTATTACTCTTTTTTTTTTTTTTTTGTCTATTATTAATGGTCTATGCAATATGGGGATTTTTTTTTTAATGGTTAGATCAAGTTACTACTCCCTCTATTCCTCTTTTTTTTTTTTTTGTCTATCTTTCTTTTAGATATCTTAAAATTATATTTTTTAATATTTAAAATTTTACTTTTTTATATTTAAAAATTATTTTTATGATTTTTATGATTTTTTACATTAAAAATTATAAAACTTTAATTTTATAAAAAAATAAATTTAATATTGAATATATTAAAATAAAAAAATTATTAAACTCTGTGAAAATCAATATATCCCAAACATTTTAGATCGAAGAGAGTATATGATTTGGACTTTGGTTTATATTGTTAATGGGAATTTAATTTTTGTTTGAAAGTAATTTTAATACAATGTTTGATTTTTGGTGGGGGGTTTTAGGAATTTAGTAGAAAGTTTAGTTTTCTTTTTCCGCCGATCGCCGCACCTTGGAACTGCTGTTCTTTGTCGCTTTGTGGGCGCTTCTCTTTCTGCTACGTTCCGGTAAACCCTACCGACAAGCACTTAATTGAATTACAACATCTTCTAGTGCATTTGGTTAACGTTAATGATGTTGTTGTTTGTGTTAAGAGAATTTTTATATTCCTGTTTGGTTTCGGCATATGCATGTTTCGAAGATAATCTTCTTTTTCTACACAAACCATTACGTTGCCGCGCAATGTTCCGGACTGCAGTATTTTCACAAGGCCCTCATTGAAGCGTACCTGCCAACCAGAGCCATCAAAACTTGTCATCACTTTTTAACTCAATGCAATCACCAGATTCACTTCATTCTGATTTGGCAACCGTTTTTTAACTAGGCAACTTTTCTTGTCCCCCCGAAACCCCAATGGTCGGAAAGGTCTGCTTGATTCAATGTTTCTTGTCGCCAACGCACGTTTACTCCACCAGATCACGTTTAAGAATATACAAACAAAAACAAGACAATAAATAGGAAAACATCAGACCAAATTAATTCCTAATGCTAGTTAACTAATTGGTAATTGTCATCTATTTCTAGATTCTTATAACCTAATATAACCTTTTTAAATCATCAACTTTTTTCAGTTTATTGTTATTTGATAATTAAAATTAATTATGATGACCATTAAGATATTGACAATCAAAACAAACTGCAATATAATGTATATATAATAACATTTCAGATCAATTTATAGGGGTTAGCAAAAAGGCAAACTGAAATGCTGAGAATACAAAAATATGTATGTATGTATGTATGCATGCATCTGGCATCAACAAACGTGGAAATATATCAATCAACCCAGAAGGCTAAACTCTAAAACAGCTGGAACCAGAGCAAAAGTAGCGCGGCGCATTGGTACAACGACAGCTCTGTAGCTACCTCAACTCAAATACAACATGCAAAGGAAAGTGTACCCGAAGAATATATGGCCGCCAAAATAAGCATAATTGGGTTAAAGGGTCGTCACTTCCTAACAGAGGAAAATGGCAATTTGAAAAAAAAAAAAAAAAAAAAGAATAGCATTCCAGTGTCATAGCTCTGACTTCATCTTCCTCGCTAGCTAGGCCTCTGCCACCACACCACAGCGCACCAAGATCAGAATTGATAGTTCAAGCATCGTTTCCAGCATTTATAGTTCAAGTGAAGTTACAGCGTCATCCATGCATAGGCAAACTAACAATTTCCGTATCTGTAATAAGATACCTCTCGTTTATAATACAACATTATCTAATCGAGTAGCTGAATGTTATATACCCTTTGGCTTTCTCCAATATTCAACTTTCAGCACTTGCTGTTTCTGATAAGCGTTAAAAAACTAAAACAATGGGTGGAGAATTCAGGTTAGACTGACTTAAAACTACTGAAGTTAAGGGATCAAGTCCTAAATGCGGCAAAAAATATGGCTTAAACTCCAAGCTCTTCGAAGTGAAGCAATCAGTGCTTGTCACATGACAAGTTTTAACCCCATCATAAACACAAAGCATGTTGAATTTGCCTATAATTGCAAAAGAAGACTGCAAATGACCAGTGAGTGGATAAGTCGGTAGGTTCGTTACCATTTAATCCCACCATATAAAGAGAAAAGCTGGAGGAATCTTAGAAGAAGGAATCAAAGTTGCAACTGTTTTTCCATCATTTACAAGCAGCTTTCACACGGATACTAAGCACAAACTAAAAAGATCTCCAAGCTAACCCCAAAACGAGATCTTATCAGGACTCAATCTTGCTTAAGAAAATCCAAAATGGGACAAACTTCAATTTTTTAACGTTTACAGATCTTACCTTCGCCTAAGCATATATAAACATCCATTACAACCCTTATCTCTTGTGATGAGACCTCACATTCAGCAAGAACTGCATCTTAACCTGTCCAAAACAACAGTAGACAGATGGTAAGTGCAAAACATATTAAGAACATCAATTGGGTTCAATAATAATAGCAATGATATCATCTTATTACATGACGACCAAGACTGCTACATTGAGCATGCAAGGTTGTACGAGTATGATGGATTAATATTATATCTGTCATTTACCCGTTTGAAGAGTTTGTGTAATGCAAATGTGTTGGATTGTTCCCTTTCTTTCCCGTTATAAACAAAAGGTACAACAAATTCGCAACTTCCTTTCTTTTGATATTTGTCTTCTGGCAAGACACCAGCCACCAAAAAGTGTTTTTATTCCTTTGATGATACAATCATTAGCTGTAGTGAACAAATTGTTAGTTGTAGTAAAATACAGTCACAAACACCCAAATAAGATGATTACAAATTGTTCTTCATAAATATGGGTGATTGGTTCTACAAAATTTATCAGATCTGTAATATAAACCCTAATCACCACGTAAATGCAAAAATTAATGTGACTATATTTCAAAAAACAAAAAAATCCTGATACATCATTCTTCTTCTGTCTTTTCCCCAGCTCATTTTTCAACCAGTTCTAATGCACCACAGGAGTTAGCATCATCTCTACATGAAATAACAAACTTAAAATCATAATTATAGCTGATTTAAGTTCAGATTCTAAATTACATACCTCAAACGATTTTCCTGATCTCTCGAATTCCAGCACGCTAAGAGCAACTTCACAGCTCTGTGAGACAATAGGCTGAGGATATCTAGCAAATTCCTCAAGCAGCACTACACTTTGATCATCTACAACAGTGGCATAATGAGGAATCCAATTAGACTAACCCAAGACGTCAAAACAGTAAAGAGGCAACATTCATAAGCCATGGTAGTCATCCAAGAATCCGTGTGAGAGAGAGTGATCATATCTCATGGCTCAGCAGCGCTTATTGCCGACCCCTTATGAGAACTATAAAAAAATGGCTCAAGAAAGCCTCATTAGCAACACTCATAAAAAGGGAATTTTAGGTAGGATTATTAGCATCACATGGTCTTACCTGCAATGGAACTGTGAGCTTCAGCAGCTTCATGCGTAGCCATTGGGTGCTCACCCACAGTCCTGAAATATTGCTAACTGCAGCTGAAGCAGCTTTATTTTGCAATTGACCCAAGGCATAAGCAACCTGTATTACAGCAAGGTAACAAACATAAAAATAGATCCAGTTGTAAAAGAAACACATCAAGATTGCATAAGGGAATAGACAATTACTTAAAGGAACATCATCAAACCTCACGATTCAACAAAGCACTTTTAGGCACCAAAGAAGCAATAAGGGCAGAAACAACTTCCTCTCCACCATAGTTTTGGAGAGCAAAAAGGGCTAAACACCTCTCATACATGCCTCTTTCTTCATCCAACAGCACCTCCCTTAATATTAGACAACATCAGTAAATAGCCTAAAAAATAAACATGGTAAATAGAAGTAGCATCCATTACCATACCTAAGTTAATCAACAGATGAATGAGATGAAGCTGGTGCAGCAGGATCAACTGACAAAAAAGGTGACTTTTCTTCCATGGATGATTTATCATCATTACCAACAGACTTTTAACTCCTCAATTCACTGGAGAGCCAGTTCACATTTTTCCCAGGCTTCATGATCAGGATCCAGAAACAAAATGTTCTTTAAAAGAGGAATGTTACTCTCTAAACCAATTGCATCAAGCGCTTCGGCTGCGTGTGGAACAATAACATATCAACCATTTAAGGAAAACAGCATCATATAACAGAGATAAATAAAATAATACCTTGTACTATAACTACAGCTTAACAAGAACCAACCTCATGACGAACAACGGGATGCTGAGAAAGATCATTGAGAGCTGCTTCTAAAGCAGGGATAGCTTCATCATCTTGCATTTGACTCAAAGCAAATGCTGCTTCATAAGCCAATTAATTTGATGAATCCATGGTCGCTGCAAGGAGATAGATGGCAGCAAAGATTAGAAGAGAGCAGATTTATAATATTAATTCATTTAAAAAAAATCACCATTTACTCATTTTTTTGTACGATTTTCTTAATATAAATAATTAATTCTAGCAACTAAACCATAGAATTTTATCCCAGATTAACTCTAACTCCCATCATTCCATTTTCTGCATTGGTTTCGCTTCAAAGGAAAATTATGCAAAATGGAATTAGAAAAACTATTCAAAAAAAATAAGTAATTAGTCCTCTATTAAGCATTAACATATATATGCTTAAAAAACATCTTCAGACAGTAATTAGAAAAAAGAAAAAGACACATAGAATTTTGATACGTAAAACAATGAGGTATAATACGGAGAGCGTGCCGAGGGCCAGACCCTTTCAGGTTGCGAAGGGAGAAGAGCGCCTGGAAGCGCTCGGATATGGGCTGGGTAAGGTCGAGCAAACTGTTGCAAAAGAAATTTCTCCGTGTTGTTGAGCGAGGACGACCCCGATGCTGACACGCTGTCGTCCAAGGAACCCATGATTCGACGATGCAAAGCAGACGGCGACCCCTTTGAGTAGTGGCTTGTCAACGACACGGGTCATTTGTTGAAATAATCAGAAGCAAGTTTTGGATTTTAAAAATTTAGCCTAAACACTTTTTGTGGGGAATCTGTTATCCCACCAACCTTTTGTTGGGCTTTTTTCGGCCCATTTGTTTTGCTAGTTTTATCTAATCTCCTCTATTTAAAAAAAAAAAAAAAAAAAAAAAAAAAAAACAGAGTAGAAGTCCACGTCAGCGTAGCCCCCACAAAATACATACTCATGTCATCGTCTTCCCAATCCCGTAGCAAAGATCCTCCGATTAAAACGCAATTGAAATTTCCCCTCGTAACATAACTATAAATAGGTGTCAATAATATAAGTATTTTCATATTTTCTTCACAATTTTTCTGGTGCTATAGTGGCAAGGAAATCAATTCCAACTTCCGTCCGAAGGTAACCTTTTCCCCCACATTCTTTTTAACTATTCTCTCTCAGATCTGAATTTCTTCACTTTCGATTACCCACTTTCAATTTCTTGACTCGCATTCTCCATTTTTTTCAATAATTCTTGAACTAATTTCTCTAATTTCTTGAATTGGTACTGATTTTACAAGTACCCAAAGGGCTAAAAGAGTTTGACTGGCATTCCAAGCAGATAAAAAGGGCTTTGGCTCTCCCATTTTGAAGAAACATGAATCCTAGACGGTTAGTTGAATCTCTTTTGTGCGAATTTTCGTAGCCAGTGATTTTTCAAGTTAAATTGTTCGCTTAGATCTGTTTGTAAATTATTGGCATCTGATCAGTTATTTGAAACCCATTCCATATAAAATTCCTTTAGTCTGATATTTTACTCGTAACTTGTATCATTTCATGTGATTTATATCTGATTTTGCTTGTATTTCAGAGAGGGTTTATTCTGTTGGACATGGTTATGAACTCTTAGGGCATATGATCCCAAGAAGGTGTTACCTTATAGACTATAGTCATGTTCTTGTACCAAAATTTTCAATCTCTCTTTCTGAAAGCTGAACTTGCAATCTAATTATATATCTGAAATGATAGAATGTCTCTTTGATTGTTAATCCTCATTATGACCTCGGTTTATTGATTCCACGCTTCATCTGAAGGAAATGATTACTATACTATGTATTCTAGCAGTCTAATTACTAATAAGGTGCACTTGTGTGCAGGGACATGCGGAACAACAGAGTTGCACTTTTTGATGGCATTGAGGAAGGTGGCATAAGGGCCTCGTCTTCTTACTCGCACGAAATTGATGAGCACGATAATGAAAGAGCAATGGAAGGATTGCAAGATAGAGTCAATCTGCTAAAGAGAGTAAGTCTGATCTTGGCTGCTGAACTCAACCCATCTATCTCATGCCATTTTAATTGCATTGTTTGTGCTGCTTCCATACAGAATCTTGTCATTATCTGTAATAGAATGATTCTTTTATATTCTTTAATTCTTATTCCTTCCCTTTTTCTTGGTGAAGTAGGAATCTTAAAACTCTTCTTTTAAAGAATATTGAAGGTGATAAGCTCCTGTAAATGTAGTAGTCTTTTGGACAAATCTATGTTTTATTTGACTGCAGGCTTTTCTGCTATTCAGGTTTTGAGGCTCTAGCGTGTTTTGTGGTAGATTTTAAGCTTGAATCTTGATTCACTGAAATGTTCTAGAAATCATAATATGTTTTTAACACAAACTCGCACTGAATATATTAATACATCCTGAAACTCTGTTTTTTTAAACATAAATATAATGCAAGCATATTCTGATACATGTCACTTCAATAGCTGTCAGGTGATATACATGAGGAGGTGGATAGCCACAATCGCATGCTGGATCGAATGGTATGTATGCAGCAGTGATAAAACTGTCTTCTTCTGAATGTTATCGGTTTTGCTGCTGCTGATATTAGTTATGGCACATGATTTGTATTTAGGGAAATGATATGGACGCATCAAGGGGAATACTCTCAGGAACCATGGACAAGTTTAAGATGGTATGTGACGGGGTATCTTTTGCTCTTTGCAACTTTGGGTAGCTTTCATTTCTTCCTTATATGTGTGTGAGGATGCAGGTCTCTATCTGGTACATCAACTTTTTCATGCTGTAATGAATTTGATCTGCCTCTCAGGTATTTGAGACCAAATCAAGCAGAAGAATGTTTACGCTTGTGGCATCTTTTGTGGTTATTTTTCTTGTCATATACTATCTTACTAGGTAACTGGTCTATGGTGTATTTGATACAGCTGCGAGGTTGATATGAGAATTTGGAAGACCCTTTTAATACATGGTTACTTACCGTAAACAATGTACTTCCTACATGTAAGATATTTTGGCATGTTTGTATAAAGATGTTTTGGTATATCGAACGGGTCTTTTTCCTCCTATAACATAAACAATATGCATAATCTTTCTTCGATTCCTGTCAATGGCTTAAGATATGAATCCAGGCTGTTAGTAACTCTTCCAAATTCCTAGTTAGAACTGAGCCAATGACTGGCTGCTAAAGGTTCACTCAGGGTGAACTTTGAGTCACAATGTCTTAAAATTTGTTGTGTTTGATTTCTACGTATGGCTTCAGAGAGGGGATGTTGGTAGCATAATTAGCATATGTTTACCCAACGTTTCCATTGGTTGGTTACTAATTACGTGTTATGGAAGAAAATATTTTTAGCCTTTAGGCGTTGGCCGACCTTTTTTTCATTGCTAGCTTTATTTTTGCAGGATTCAAGACAACGTCAAAGGAATTAAGGATTTGAATCTTGAGCTTAAGCTCTATTCGTTGGAAAGATATAAGAGAATTGTATATGCATTAATATAATTAATAACAATGTGACTTATCAAACTTTAACAGACTATTTGATCGTTTGAATAGAAATGGATACATACTGCCAATCGGTTAGAACTTTTGAAATTGTGTTGTTGGTATCTACGGATTGCGCAGCTAAACTATATTATAAAGGGGGGCCGCTTAATGGAAAAAGTGCATGGTTGCATAGAACTTTGTGCAAATTTTCTCATTGGAGCTCATAATAAACTTATCCAAAAACAACTATACAGCCTCTGGAGGCTTGATCTCCAGTACCGTTCACCCCATTGATTCACCATATGAAGACCAAATCGGCTTAAAGTTTTTGCGACTTTATATATCATGCATATACGGTTTATGCACTGATCATATAAAGTTGCCTTTAAAAATGGAAATGAATTGCAGCTGTCAGCTTATGGTGTTGTTCTATCACACATAGCTTCAAGTATAATATCATGCTTTTGGAGGTAACTTCACGGCGCAAATAGTGCTAATGCAAACAGATCGATGCGTCATCCAAAGACATTGAAACGCAATTCTTTTTTTCATGAATTCGTTTTTAGAACCAAACAGATTAACGAGACATTCTTGTTGTACAGCCTACTGATCTCCTGAATGTCATAAGCTGACAAGAAATGGTGATTTTTGTTGAATACCAGTTTCATATATGACAACTTGTGACGGGAAAGCAGTAACGTCTAAAAGAATTCGGGCGCATTTGGATACCACCGCATCCTCAATGCAATAGTATTCATGAACTTTTGGGGCTTCAATTGCATCGTGAAGTGCATTTGGATTGCATCCTGCAATGCAGTTGAAGCTTTTTAATCTCACTGTTTCTCTACTTGGAGACTAGAGGAAGAAGGATCCAGTAGTTTACTCTTTTCTAAAACAGTTGACTTCCCCTTCTATGGTATTCGACTATCTTATAGTGTAAAATTGAAATACAATCTATTTTTCAATATGGCAGTCAACTGTTTGCTTGAAAATTCAGCTGCTTCATTTTCGGATATGGTAGTCGACTATCTTTGGTTGGACAATCAACTCTCATATCTAATCTCATATTCATTATTATAATTGTTTTCAAATATATATTCTACCATTAATTTTAATTTTATCATTACAGTAATTAATCTCATTATTATTATTATATTCAAATTTACTATAACCAATATTACAATCTATCTGAATGGTTTTATAATCTGATTTATTCGCTAGTTCTGATTTAGTAATTAGTACTTTTGTAATTTGATTAATGCTACTGATTTTAGTAGATTTCAACATATTTTTTTCTCAATATTCTATGTACTGTAAAAATTAAGTCTCTTCATGGATATGTTCTTGCTAATTCTAACAGGAAATTAACTATATATATGGGAAAGCACATTTAAAAAATTTTACTCATCTTTATACATATAATTAGTATATTAATTAGGAAAATGTTATATACACAAAATATTCACACATATGTACACATAATTGATTTTTTTCTCCCAAACTTTTCTAACCTAAAAAAATAATTTTTGTATTCCTTTCTTTTTTAAAAAATATCATCACAAAACAGTTATGTGTACATATATGTCTTTGTCTTTTATATGTATATAGCATTGTACATTAATTTATAACCTAACTACTCTAGTTAGTACCATCATAACGTATCTCGAAAAGGAATTTTTGATTAATTAAAATCCTGCTCTTAAATTTATCAACAATGCTGTGCATATATATACATATATGTTGCATTTTAATAAAGGAAAATTTTATATCAAGATAAGAGAACAGCAGATTACAACTCATGAATGTGTACTTGAAGGTGGAGGAAATTGCTCTTCATCAGCAGGCTGATGGCCATTGTAAGATAAGATGTTCTTTCAGGCATGAAAAAAAAATACTATCTTCCTTCCATTTTTTCTCCTTATATTCTTCATATTTCGTTTCTTCTCAGTCGTAATCGCCATAAAAAATATGTTCCCAAATATATTTATTGAGGTGGATGATGAAACAAGTAGTTTGATTATCTCATTAACTTAATTTTTCGGCATCAGAAAATATATCATTCCTAGCTAGCTACTACTTGATAAATAATATTCCACAACTACTGTACATATAGACAGAGAGAAAGCTCTTAATTATTAGTATCTAAATCGTATACTATGGATCATGACCTAATCGTAGCTCCAAGTCTAATTTATCTTCTTGACTACTTCCAATATCTGTCTTCTTGTTTTCATGATCATCTACATGGGAATGGGATGGACCGGTTCGCAAGCTAAGATTCCTAGGCCAATCCTCATCGCCAAACGGATTCAGATTCTGTGAATTGTCTGCAAACAATTCATCACTGTTGTGTGTGTGGGGGGGTCTAAAACCCCAACCTGAAGCTGGGAAAAAAGCTTGATAACTTACATGTTCCTCAGGAGCTATGGAATAATGTGGCAGATAGCTTTGGATTGGCTGATAGGAATAGGAGCTAGGGCTTGCGTAATTCTCATCATCAACTTTGCCTGAAACTATAGGAACTGAACTAGGCCTGCTCTTGGCTCTATCTTTCCTGTGGATATTCATGTGCCCCCCTAAGGCTTGTGCAGTGGTGAACCCTCTCTTGCAAAACACACACTCGTAGGAAAGGCCAGTGCCCATATCATCGTTGCTTTGCTCTGATCGATCAGTCTCTTCACTCGAACTCTTCGAGTCTTCAAGCTGGTTGGCTTCCATGGAAGACTCCCAAAACCTCACCAGAAATTGATCTATAATATGCTTAATTTGTTGGAGATTAAGGTCATGTACTGGAAATAGAAAGAGGAGGGCATTATACGGAGGAAAAGATGAGGAGAAATAGTTAGACGAGAGAAATAAAGGACATAGGCATTGGGTAAGTGAGTTGTATGAGGGTAATCTGAGAGAAAAAGTCTTAGATGTTCTCTGGGAGAGTTTTTCTGTTAGCCGGCTGTGCTTGTGGATCCATCTTTAGCAGACGGTAGTTAATATTTTTATTTATTTGTCTGCCAATTTTAAGCTCTCTCTCTTTCCATCTCTGCCTAGATTTTTACCCATATATTTAATTTTGTATATAGAGCTAGCACACCTATATATATATATATATATATATACACTTCTTAATTACTTAATTCATGGTAATTAAACCTATTCACATTGAAGCATAATTCTCCATTTCAATTTGCCAACTACCAATCTTTGTGTATCAAATACGTTAACCTTGGAAACTTTGAAATTCCTTTGAATAATCCCATTTCTTTTACTAAAACACACAAAGGTAAGCGCTGAGAATTAACATTTTCAAAGTTTAAAAAAAAAATACACCTTTCATTCATTAAACATTAGTGAGCATGTAGTTTATATATTTTTAATGCATATTTAGCCTTTTGGGAAACTGTACATATATAAAATGATGAACTAATTATGATGGTATAATGAAGCCTTTCTTATCACGCAGCTGAGCTGAGGAAAGATGTAGGAACCTTCCTGCAGAATTTATTATTAGGAAAAACAGCGTATATTTGTACTTTGCCCTTGTCCCTAAGTATAAGTTTTTCCACCATAATTAATGGGAAACACATCATCTTTTTGTCATCACAATCTGCTTCATTTGCTTTCAAGATCCTTTTAGGTTTCACTGATAAACAATTTTTGTTTGGAAAAAATTTCTGGTTGTCCCACTAATAGAAAAATCTGATCACACAGTTTTGCTTTGGTCACCTAGGAATACATAAATATAAGAAAATTTAGAAACTAACAACTCTGTCAAAATAAATAAAAAAAAAAAGATTTACCATCGATGATGATCGATAATTTTAAATTATCCCAAGTTGTGATTGATCATTTATATGCTAGCTACATTAACAAAATATCTTGCATATGTATTCTTGGTTTTGTCTCTATGGCATTGAGCCACCTATATAATTGTAAATTACAATAAAGAAAAAAGAATCAATGTTTCCGATTTCCATGTGTTCTTAATATCAAGACCAAATTGAAGTTGAGTCTTTTTCCTTCTCTACTTTTATATGTGTTTTATATACTTGCAGGCCAACATTTTCATATTAAAGAGTAGGTTAGATGTGTTAAAAGGGCAGTTGCTTCGTTTGGTACATACATGGGAAAATGGCAGCTAGCACTATCAAATTTCCACCAATTTCATTTTTTTTATGACTAAAAATTCCATTTTGAGGCCAGGAAGAAATTTCCTAGGGAATCAATCCTATATTTCAAGGAGAAATTGAAAATTGCAATCCATTTTTATGAAAATATTGTAAATTAATTTAATGATAAATGCAGGCATGACCAAAAAAAAAATGCATAGTAGTTCAAAAGAAATGAGCAGATGCAACTATAATATCTATGAATCATCGATTAATTTAAGTTATGATATCTATAGTTGTCATGATGTCATGTGTAGTTGAGATTCTGATTGGTTTAATGTTAAAATGAAGAAAGGATTTTAGGTCTGTTAAGATGTCAGTATTTTGACATAGTCTGCCAATAGAAAATTGTGAGAGGAAGGAGATGAGAAATACACTAAAAAAAGACTAGGGACAATGGCAAGAACAAGGGCGACAATAACGTGAGTGCTCTCCTGCCAAGTACCAATTTTAATTCCTTTCCTTTTACCTTTCTTGTTTTTTTTTTTTTTTTTATTTTTCCAGTAAAGAATAGTGCCACAATCAAAAACTTCATTACCAATTAAATACTTGTCATTTTCAAAATAAACTATGGTATAACAATTAGTAACGAGGCTTATGGATTTGACTTTGTCTCCGAAGCCCATCGAACAAGTGGGCTTGAATGATTTCATGGACCTTCCAGTCCATGGCAGCTCCACGATCATTACCATCAATATTATTTACTGATCTTTCTTTCATTATAAAATTATTAAAAAAAAATTTTTATTAATGAAATTTATCCATATCAATCTATTTATACTAATAATAACCAGGATTTTTTTTTTTTTTAATTTGGGAGCGAATCATTTCATACTTCAATGAATCTTGTTAAAAAGGATTAAAAAAAAAAAAGCAAAAATGTCAGTGTGAACCCATCGTCATTGAAGAACCGTTCTAAAATAAAAAGAAAAAAATTCAAAGGCCTTGTCCTACCAAATTAAATGATCCCCAACTACACATGCATTCTTTCATATATATATATATATTTGGTTAGAGCTTGATTGATTTATTAGACAAGAATATCTTACAACATTAACGTAGATATTGCTATAATTTTAGAGCCATGAGTTTTTGATATAATGTCAAGATTGAATTTCAAGCAACAACCAAACGTGACCCACTTAATTTTGACTAGGGCAGGCTCGAGCTTGTAACCCAATTGCAACCCTAGCAACAATCCTTGGAACAAATTTAGCTAGGTTCTTAGATGCTAGATTCACTGATCATTTGTTTTCGCAAAAAAAAAAAGTTGACAGCATAAACTGTATATACTATTGATAAGATTGTTGGGTTGTGGAATTGACAACGGTTTTATTGTTTGTTTATGTAATCTAAATTTGTATGAAGAAGTTTTTACCTGATAACTCTATCAAGGAATAATCAAATTCTTAAAAATGATCCGACAATAGTCCCATTTTGATGTGTAGTAAGTTGGGATTTTCAACAACAATTGTAGATTTAATGGTTAACAATGTGGTAAAGATTGTGAATAAGAACATGGATATTTCAAGTCTCAATGCCCATGATTTCGAGCTAAAAGCAAAAGTGCAAAAGTAAGGAAATTTGACTTTGTGAGAGGGTGAAAACGAAACAAGTACAAGAAGAGAAGAGACAAGACGAGTGCCAGCTTTGAGATGGTGACGTGCGCCGACTGGCTTTTTTTTTTTTTTTTTCTATTTGCTTTTTCCCCCCATGCCGCTCATCTCTCACTGATCTTTTCACTAAAACATGCACTGTGGTAGGTTCTGTTCTTGACCACCCAAATGTCTGTTTTTTTACCCTTATTATTGTTTCTTTTCCTTTGGTGAATGATTTCATTCAGACCCTTTAGTGCCTTCATCTGTTCTCACAGTCCTCTCATTGTCATCGATCTTTTAATTTAGTCACACACACAGAGAGAGAGAGAGAGAGAGAGAGAGGGAGAGAGGGAAAAGTTCTGGAGTGTTGTTTGTTTTTGGTTTTGGTTTGCTCCAGAAAAAAAAAATTGAGTTTCTTGTTAAGGAAAGGCCAACACATGTTCCAGCTGACACCGGACATTTGTGGGGAACATGCAAAAGTTTCAGATGTTGGGAAACACAACATCCCCCTGTATTACGCACACAAACCATAATGCCTCTTAATTAGAATCAATGAAGTACAAGGCAATGGCTACATTAATGGGCAGTGGCTACTGGCTACTGCTACTTCAACCATTCATGCCTTCTTCTGTTACTATCATATGAGATTTTATCGATAAGACAGATACCAAATGATAGATTTATTTGTAGTGCAACGGGGTAGGATAAGATAAAAAAGTAACACAATTAAAATTTCAATTCTAAATATATAAATCAATTGAATTATAAATTATGAGTTTGTTTATAATTAAAACATCTTCAATTTTTTGTTTCTTCTATATATATAAATGAACACAATATATAAATATGCATTACAATGTCATGAAAATTTAAAGTCATACCTTGATACTTATGTTTGTCACACCAATAAACCCCTAGTAGAGTAATATTAGAGAAGATCTTCACCATGCAAAATATGGAAGTATGCTGATCAACATCGATCTATAGTTTCCACCATTAATCCTTTTGGTTTTCTACTTTTCTTTTCTTTTCTTTTTTCTTAGTTTCTATGTATCTGGCTATATTTATTTGTTTGTATTATTCTCCTGCGGATACATTGCTATCAAACAGTTTTCCAGTAGAGAACTACAGTTGTGCGCATGGGGTTGATGGGAATTCTCATTATCTTTGTCTTTTTTATGCCAAAAGTTTCTCCAAGAGGGGTAGAGTCATGCGATGGATTTCCTCTTATTTTCCCAAGATCAAGGAGTATAGAATTCATGAGAGGCTTTAAAGAAAAATGACATGCGTGATTTCTGATTTTGCATCATAACAATGCAAAGAGAACATTCATTAATTGAAGAAACATCCCATCTCATCTGATCTGTCATTACGAGAAACAAACAACCCCATCTTCGACTTATCTGTTACATTTTCAACCCAAGTAAAACTACCTGTTATGATGATCATGGTATTGACAGTTAATGGGAAAGAATTCGGGGCAAAGCTGATGAAAAAATTTCATGGAACATATCTGATAGACTAAATGAACAAAAGAAAAGTAAGGCTATTCCAGCCAGCTCATTGAGCAAGAATCATATTTGCTAATTAAAACATCAACCGTAGTCTTAATATCAGTATATATAATATATATTGCCTAATACTCCATATTGACAGCCTTCATCACCAAGGCATATCCTGAACTTTCATCTGATAGATGATGAGAAGGCTATGGTGAAAGCAATGAAAATTTTGGAATGTAGAGATACAAAAGAACAAAAGAAAAAAAAAAATCAAAATGCAACCTAGATAATGAAAGAAGATACATAAAATTAAAGCCGCAATACTCTTTGGAACTAGAAATATATTGCAGTACTTAAAAATACCCGAGTCGAAGCTCCAAATCTAAAACCTCCTTTGAATCTTTGAACCCTCTCTCCAAGTCAGCAACATCAACTTCATATTTTTGTGCATGCTGCTTCAATTTTTCAACCCCAAGAAAAGGTGCCATCGTCTTCTCTTTTGACAAATCTCCAAGTTGAGGGCTCAAAGGCTTTATACGGTTTTCCCCGTAAGGTAGTAGTGAAGACGAAGGACTAGTGAGCAATGGAGGAAGCAAGGAATGATGGGGACAGAATGACAAGTTAACAGAAGGAGAGGATATTAAATTAGAAGGTGAAGAATTAGGGTTAAGCTTAGAGTAGGTTTTAGGCTTCTGACATTCTAAAACCAATGAAGATAACAATTTCAACTTGGCTCTGTCCTTCCTATGAACATTCATATGACCTCCAAGAGCTTGAGCTGACTTGAATTCCCTCTTGCAAAAGCTACAAGTATAATATTTTGGAGGCCATGTTAAGCCACAACATGAATAGTGACCCTCCAACTCCAAGTCGAAGCTGTTACAGTCCCACTTGCAAATCTTGTTTGTAGTCAAATATGTCTTCTCCATGCTACAAAAGTCGCTTCTAGATTCTAAAAACATCAGAAACAAATTAATTAAAGACCAAGTGTTGGTGTAACTAATTGCATATATAGGCGTAAGAGAAAGAGAACTTACTTATTTCTGAGAGAAATGGTGGTGATTATTTAGTTAAAACAGATCAGACGAACTGAGCAAGTATTGCATTTGCTGCTGAAAATTCTATGCCAGAAGCAAAATATTCCATTAAATGTACTCGCCAGCAAATGTTTGTTCTATTTCAGGATATATATTGGCTGACTGATATATTAATCTACAAATTTAAGTAGCAAAATATGCCTTTATGCCAAATCGTCTGGAAATATATGCATAATAGATCTTGCTGGACACTACTGAATGGTTACAAATCTCAAGAACTTTTGATTTGAAAAAGAGAAGATAGAGAATAGTTATTATATATAGAAGCGCTGAAAATAAAGGGTATGGAAAAAGAGCTATTCCTAATCACACTGTCAGTAACCGAATCTTGAATTCTGAAATTAGAACAGTTTTGCTTATTGTGACGTTGTTAAGTCAAAGTTGTATTGTATGTATACATGCTTCACCGGACAGGGTTGATTGTTTTGAGACGAGAAATAAAATTCTCAGTAGATGATTTTAAAAGCTTTCTTATTCTTCTTCCGACGCATTTGAGACCTTTTTTTTTCTTTAAAATCTTTTATAATATATGTAGAGCTTCGTAAGAATTTAGCTAGAACTAATTCCTGTTTGCATTAAAAATCAAATAAAAAATAATAAATGTTATGGTCATATTTGGTATATAACATGATGCATAGAATTAAAATGATAATCATTTTATATTATATATAATTTGCATTTAAAGAGAGATATGATTACAAGGACATCTGTTTGGTATAAAGTGATTCAATTCTCAACAAAATTAAGATGATTATTTTTAATTTATAAGATTAAACTTACATATCATATTATATCCATAAAAATTATACTTACAAAAATGAATGGTGTATGATGACTACTAGCTTATGGATACAGTCAACTCTTCAATTGCAAAAAGCATACGAATAACTTGCACTTGCATCACTATCTCAGTGTTTTAGTTTCTATTTTCTACACAATAGAGAGAATCGTGTAAGTCATAGAATAAAAAAAAAATACATCAATTCCTGTATATACAAGCACAAATATACACAATGGAATGTAAATTTTGAGGTATTTCAGAACTAAAAAGCTTGCTTCAAAAATAATTTTTTTTTTTTAAAAAAAGGCTGATTGATTTCAGATAAAGAATCCAGTACAGAAACCCATTGGAAGAGTAAGATTATCAATATTTTTTGTGATGCCACGCCAGCGATCAATTTCCTCTAAATATAACTTGAAGCAGCAGATATATCTGCTGGACGATGAGGAAAAGATCAATGTTTAAGCTAAAAGATCTGTTCTATTCTATAAGACAGGGATTTCACGATGATATTACATTAAGCATGGAACGTGGCACTTCAAACCATGATAGAATTGCCTTTGTCAGCCACCTAAACTATAGTGCCCTTTGCTGATGCTTCTTTGGCTGTTAGTTTTTAAAGCCTCCTGTCTACTTCTTAACATTGCTCGAATTTGATGAAGCACAATAAGCATCTCATTTATAGATGGTTCATTTCCTTATTCATAAACAAAATATGGACAATGCAGAGAACTTAATGTCTTGGAACTTTCGACCCTTGTTAGAGACAAGTGAAGTCACAGCGATTGTTAGTGAACAGACAAATTAAACTAATGCAGCTCTACTTGGTAACTATTATTGCTAATGATCGTTTTCCCTTGTTACTTTTCATATGATATCCTCATTTTCCCAGCAGTGTTCTTTCAACAAAAGCAAGTTACACGCATGTCAACAACCTAGCAGAACAAAGTATGTGATTTCATTAATGATCGTATACCACAAAAACATTTTCTTACATAAAAAGTTGAAAACTTTTTAAGTATGAAACTGTCCACTTTTAGACAAGGGAACAAGAAAAAATTTATTAATAAGTAAAATATATCCTTGTATTACCACATAGTGTAATAATCTTCTATGATTGTAAGTTTATCTTTTAACCTCACCAGGAGAAAATGTCTCTTTAAAATTAACACCAGAGCACTGTAGTTTCCTTTTTATTTTATATTTTATTTATTTATGGTAAATAAAATCTAATTCATTCAACTTAAAAAATTATCTATTGTACAAACGCCCTCAGCATCCATTTAAATCAATATACTCGTATCAATATAAAAATCAAGGGGAAGTATCACAACTGAAGTTCCTATAGCATTAAACAAGCTAACACAATGTCACAAAGTCACTTATGATTTAATTTTCTTAGGGTGATAAAGATTAACATTATCTCTTTGCTAGAATCAACTTCCCCTTATAATCATACATAAGATCAAGCTCTTGCAGAAATGAACAAATTTCAATAACCAATAACTTCAATAGAAAGCATCCTTAAGGGATCAAAATAAAATCTTTATTGTTTTTAAACTTAAAAGGCCATATTTTTCATCAATACATCAAGAAGCAAGGCTTCTAATAGTTATAAACCTAAAATCATCAATATGGTATTTTTCAGATCAATATTCAATACCTAGAACACAATAATAAATATGTAAAAGGACGATGACATAAGAACTATGAAAGAACTAATGATCCTTTAGGTTTTCTATACACATTAAACACTAGTCATCTCATCCTGGAAGAACTGTAGATATCTCCATCTCAAAGGATTTTCCCCCTAATAAACTGAGTTAGATGTCTTTATGGAAAAAACTCTTTGACAACATAAGCATGACATAGTGCTAGTGTAATACAACACAAATGAGAAAGATGGAACCGCAAGTAGCTTTTCAGAGCCTGCAAAGTCACTTTCTTCCTTATAACTGCTACACTTAAAAACTGGTCAAGCAGTGAAAGTCCATTCTGGAGCTCTAAAAGTGTACAGGGAACAATTCTTCTAAAATCTAAAAATCAGTGTGTGACCAGCAGCTTCATACGTTACAATAATAATCTTAACTGACACATTTTATGTACCAAAAGTACACAGGGTAAACTCTGTCTCTACACATGATAATTTATTCACCCACCACCAATCAAGTATACCGTCATTTACCCATCATTTAACCAATAATTAGAAGACCAGAACAACTTCTAAACACAAAACATAGCAAGTTAAAAGTTAGCCAAAGCTAACTTCAGTAAATTGTAAGATACATTTTAAAGGATGATAAAAAAATACTACCTGTTCAAGGAGTCTTGAAGCTGATAAACTCTTCTTTCAATTTCTTCTAATTTCTTGCATCTTCTCTCACTTAATTCTTGGGCTTCAGCATGCTTCTTTTCATATTCATCGGCTCTTCTCTTTTCTCCCAGCAAGAGGGCCTGCAAGACATAAAAGCACGCGTAGTGAAAACAACAATAAAAGTTTTGAACTTCAACGCTTGGAAAATAGTTATCCCAATTAAGACATGGTAAGGCATGTCAAGGCAAACAAGAAACCATACAATTACAAAACTCTATCCAGATTGCACATGGTTTGTTAACCATGTCCAAGTGCTAATTTCAATGATCATCTATGTTGTGCTAAGAATTTGGAATGGAACTAATTGATGAAAACAGTAGGAAATGTCAAATAAACACCTCTCATTTTTGTGCTTAGAAGCATAAGACTTGGGTCCCACTAAGGCTTCCGTCAGTAGCATGAGAAGCAACACTATTCTAGCTCTGTTAGCAGAGTTTTAAAAGATGCACAATTGAAATTTATGTTAGAATAGATATTCAGATGTTCTCTATTTTGTTTCCACTAATCCAGGTCCAGAGGACAAAGAGTTTGAGAAGTCACAAAGATGGTTGAGTACCCAGGAGGTTTTAACCAGGAAGATAAAGAACCATTTATTCCTTTCGATCATTCCAATTTCAAGTTTTTTATAATAACTCAAAAGGATATCTGTCTGTGTTATTTAATCTTTGTCTCATGTTTTGTTTAATTTCTGCACATTCATCATTTCTTATATCCGCACAGTCTGCAATGTTCTACTACATCACAATTTTGAGATTATACCACTTTACAGATCAGTGAAAATTCAGTAGCAATATTTTTAAGATGGCATGCACCATGTTTTATGAAAATTTATTAGGCTCACACGTTTTTAGTGGCCCATACCTTTAACTGTACAGGCAATTAAGAAGCAAATGTGAAGAATGATGGATTAATCAAAGAAGAATAGAATTATATTAGCAGTACCTTTAGCTTTTCAACTTCAGCTGTAAGGTTCTCAATCTTAGAAGCATCTTGGACTGGACTTCATATTTCTTCAATGATAGGACACAATTCATAAGCTTTCTCTGCAACCTCATGCTGTTTATCAGGAAATGCATTGGTTCTGTCTGCTTGCTTTGCACAGCTAGTGGAGAATGCAGGAACTTTGCTTTCTCTTGTCCTTAGAACTATACAAATAATAGGAGCTTAGTTAGAGACCATAAATACCAAATAACACAAATTTAATCATGAAAAATTTATCAACCCTCATAACAGCCGTCGTCATCAGCAACATCAGAATGATCACTAAGCATTTTCTTCTCATCATCCAGGCAATATCCAATTCAAATAAATGGAGGAAAAACCTTTTCAATTTCAAAACTTTCCAATACTCGAACAGTGCTGAAATTCATGGTTTAAAGTGCCTTGCTTAAAAGTGTCTTGATTAAAATAAACAAAAGTGCAGATCTGCATACTTGCACCACACCTGCATATAACTATTATAAATGTATAAATAAATGGGCACATATACGTTTATGTTTGTATATATGTTCTTTAATGCCTCTAATCTATAGTGTCCACAGTCTTTAACAGATATATAAGTTCGGACCTTGATACCGTTTATTTAGACAGAAAAAGACATCAATGTTTATTAACATTTCTAAAACATCCTTCAAGGTTATTGACTCATAAATTATAGAACTTTGGTTGCTTGGTTTCTAATTCTAGATCTATTTGTCTTTCCTGATTGCATTAGTAATAAGTCACTAAAAATTTATTCAAAATTAAGAAAAAAAGTCACCAAACAATAATGAAATTTAATGCGTAGTAAAATGTTGGTCCTCTCACTTGTAATTCAAATTTGATTGGTTATAAAGTTCCCTAGTTTCAGTTACCTGTCTTCCTTAATTCTAATACTGGCATTTAATGGCATAAATTTTAAAATTAATTTTTTTTCTCATTTTTGTTTTCAAGTTTTGTAATGTTTTTCCGGCAAAAAATAGTTTTGAAATATTTTGAAAGGAAAAAAAGATCATATTTAAAAGTCTAAAACTTCTTCACAGGAATATAGATCACAGAAAGATCTAACTTACTTTGCATTTGTGCAATCTAGGAGATCTCCGGAAACAGTTTTGAAGAAAAACATCCAGAGTAACTATATTTGCCTATAATTCTATAATTATAACTAAATGAAATGTCTTTTATATTTATAACTAAATGAAATGTCATTTTGTCTAAGTATCAAGAATATTAACATTCACATGTAGCACACATGACATGAAGGCTAGGAGGTATCTTCAGACATATTTATGTATCTTACAGTTAATTGTTTTTTCTGGCTCTATGTATATGAGTTCCTCCACTTGTTCTAGAGTTCCATCCTCCTCTTCTTCATCTCCAGTAGCCTGAAGAAAACAGTAATGCACATTAATGCATATATAGAAGGGAGATTAAAACCCAAAAAACTGTTAAGAGGCTAATGCTTCCACCTTTTGGTAAGTATAATTCCACGATGGTACAACATTAACTTATGAGAAATGTTGGGAAATAAAATTGCTCATCTCAGAAATAGTTCTTGATTTCACTGAATTATGTTAAGCACTTATGTAGAAAAGGATAGGCAGAATGTAAATGCCTATGATATGGCTTGTTTAAATACCGATAGAGACATGCCTACATAGAGATAGTGCATTATATGTAGTGCACACAGACATGCATATGAAGTACTAAAATTAAGAAGAAAGCAAGCTTCCCTCCTATGTGTCTCTTTTGATATCTATCAATATACATCCAAAATTTATTTTGAAGTGAAAAAGAACCCAAAGTTACAGCTATTTTGGGAGAAGATGATAGGTATCCCAATACTTAACCCACGACCAAGTACTTTGTGAGAAGTTACAAGCTTAGAGCTACTCAACTATTTTTACTTATAGCTTTTTATTGCAAAAGAAAATAAGTCAAACATTTGAAAACAGTTAAAGACATTGACACAGCACAGATCTAGGGGTAGGATTTCGTTTTTTTAAGTTTGAAAAGGAAGGAGTCCAACTTCTCAACTCTTTTTTGAAGGTAGGAGCTACCATTAGGTAGCAGGACTTTAGAATGACATGTGGCAACTTGAACCAAAGCTAACCAAGATAAGGGAGGGTGGAATTCTACAAGCTGAAGCTAATAAAGGAAATAATTGTTAGAGTGCATGTGTACAGCATTTATATATGACAACATCAACCAACAAGAGAAGCAAATGGAACATGAAGCAGAAGAGCAGTAAATGAAGTTCTTGAAAAGTCAAAAGCCTTGTTCCAATGTTTGGGTATAGGAAAGGAGAGTTGCCTGGAATGCAAATCGATCCAGTTCGCAGAACAGGAAACAGAAGGTAATTTGCTATCTACAAAAAATGTGGTACGATGGGGGTAGTCTTCTTCAGTTCACTCAATAGGAACAAAATTCAGTCATTCGGAATAAATGCTGCAATTATTTTTTATATATATTCATTATTAAGCGTAATTAAATTAATAATTATCTATCTTTAAAATAATAACAATTAATTTCTTAGAAGGATTTTCACTTGGGGTTGGTTTCTTTCAATTTTCATAAGGTAAATGCTCCTTTGTTACCCACTAAAACAGAACACTTGAATTTGTGAACTAGATTGCGATCCAATTTGAAAATTAGAGGGAGGTTGGGTCAATTAGGTAACTCTGGGCTATATGTGCTATAATTTGAGTCCTACCATTTTTCCTACGCTAATTGCACTTTATAAGTGCAGAACCTGCTTCTTCATAACACAGTTACAAAAATATTTAAAGTACACCCAACTTTAAAAAAATAAAATAAAATAAAAAACTATTTTAATTTTTTCTATATATTTATTGCTATTATTTTTCCTTGTTTAGCTCTTGAAATAGAAGCTTTGTCCATCATGCCATCATCTAACCTGACACAATAACTTTTCACCAAAAGAGCATCTAACCCTCAATGACACAATGTAGTTGTTCTTAGTCTTCAAAATAATCAGTTCATGCATCACTTGTGTTAACTCACCTTTTGGACTGATGAACATAACATCATCAATACCGGTCTCTAATATGCAATATTTGTTCTGCTACAGGGTGGTGTATTAGGGTGAAAGTTCAATATAAAACTGAAGCCACCCATGTTGCTTTGCCTTGGTCCTATGCACTTTCCTATGTATTGATATTTATGCATCATTCCCACAACGTAGCTTCAAAATCTTTACAGTATTGTGGTGTTATAAACACAGCATGTGAAATAAAACAATCCTTGACTAATCAGCATCATCTATCTAGAAAACTACATGCAACTCCTTTTCATTTTCACCAGCTAACTCCAAAATTTTTTAGTCCTCAAATTGCATGCTTCAAGCAATTACTTGACTCTAAACCAAAGATAAAGATTGAAACATTAACTTACTTCAGTTCAGAATAGAGTGAGATCATCCAGCTTACTTCTAGAACTTTTCGTTCAACAGTCCATCCTTCAGCAGCAGCATGGCCACCCAAATATGCAAGATAAAGCATAAGCATTTTGGTGGTTTCAGTCTTACCTGCCGCACTTTCACCACTGACCAGTTTAGAGTTGGATTTTCCCTCACTAATCATAGCCATTGTTGAAATTTATGCAATTTTTAGTGAACCAGCTCCATGATCTTTAAACAATAAGCAAATAACAATAGGACCACATAGTTACCTATTTGCAAGATCGGCAATAGCAAAAACATGAGGGCTCAGCTCCCGAAGTTGAGCCCCTTTATAGCGTTCCATCAAATGACCATCATGCAAATGTGAGAGTGCTTGGAATGGATTGATAGTGATGAGAATGTTCCCGCAGTATGTCTGCCATGAGGTCAAAAAGTATTACTAACAGAGCCATAGCAGCAGTAATTAATGGCTTTCTCTCACCAGGGTGCACAGAAACAGTTTCAAAACTAAAAGTGAGATTGGTCTTACATAAATTTTATTCATTTCATATCTGGTACACAGATTGTAAAGGACGGCAGGCTCGTGCAAGTATGATAGCTTAGTCATGTCATCAACACACCCAGCGGGAGCTTCCTCATCCTCGGGATATAATTTTGATAACTTTGTAGTAACCTGGCAACATTATGGTGAAGAAATTGAAGGATGGGTAAATAAGATTCGTTGCAATGAATAATAATTCAGCTTGAACCAGAATGTAATAAAATACTTATTATAGCACAAGAAAGTTATAAAAAACAAAAAAAAACCTTTGAAGGAATATAAATTTGTGCTACCATCCTGTCGTCACTAGTTTGAATCTCAGCTTCAGCTCCATTAACGTTAGTTACAATCCCATCAAGCCAAGCCAATTATGGGTCTCCAACCCATATATGAGAACCTACATTAATATCCTGTGGCATCCCCTGCACAAGTTTAAATTTTCTGTTTAAAAACATGAAAGTAATATTCTTATATGCTTTGATAAATTTACATAAATTCTACCTACCATTCCGTTTGGTAATGTAAAATTCCTTGAAAATGATTGAAATCAAATGAGACCCATTATTGTGGAGAAGGATTTGGAACCCAATGCCGATGCGCTAGTGAAGTCGCCCTAGAGGGTCCGCATTGATAGGGAAAGATTGTTTTTAAGAGGGGTAATGTGATGATTTCATCGACGAAAATTGAATGGGTTCGGTGGAAGAAACCAAGGCGGAAATAAAGACGGTTTTGTTTTTCCTTTTTCCAGTGAAAGGGGAGCATAGAGTTCTTGTTGTTTGGGTTGGGATTGGGATCGGTTTGAGAAACACGCAGTCGTCGGAGAATCCTTGGATTTGCCATTTTCTTGGAGCTTGGGGTTTCTTTTCTCCTTTTTATATGTATTTGTTGGCGCGGGTCACAAAATCTTGAGTGTGAGCCTTTGAGGTCCTCTTGTGATCCCTTCTCTCCGTTTTTCTATTTATATATTTATTATGAATTGATTTAGTGTTTTTGGTAATTTACCTAATTAAGTCGGTGCCACTGTTTCTTGACTGATATTCAATAATTAACTTTTTAAAGAAAAAAAATAAAATAAAAGTAAAATATATACAATTATACATACCTATGTTAAGGAGATAATTGATTAAAAAAAAGTTTAAGGAGACAATCAATCCAATGAAACTCTTACTTATATGTGGCCTTAACGGACCTCGGTTTCTTCCACTGAAAGAAAGTGGCAATTTTTTTGAGTAACAGCCATCCACGTGTCACAACAGTGTAGCTTTAGACTCTTTGGTGCTTTGACTAACACAAGGCGTTACTTGTTTACCCTTTTTCATATTTCCATTACAGCCTTCTATTTGTTTTGACAAACAAGACAATAAAGAAAAGCGTTTCCCAGATAGATCAAACGAAGCTACACCAACTGGGAAACTGATTTTTTGGAGAGATGTTTGTAATGTATATAAGTTAAGTGATATCAAATTATGCAAATTGTTTTATAGTAACAGTGATTTGCAGCTTCTTGATAATAAAATTACAATTTATAAAAAAAAAAAAAAATTTGTATTCTTTCGCTCAGTATTTGAAACTCAATTTCCTTAGAGGGATATTGGAGGGAGGAGAGGAAGACGAAAAAAATGTCATTCCCTCCATCATCATCATCTAACCCTAATCCCTGGCCTTCCAAACGACGTCGCAGCCCATATCTTTTCCTTCCTCCCATACTCCCACCACTGCCGCCTCAAGCCCACATGCAAGCCCTGGTACATCTTCCTCTCCTCAAAAACGCTTTTGTGTGATCCCGTTTGATGCAATTGTGAAAAGCCTTTTTCTGTCTCTTCACAAGGCATGATCTTCAGTAACAGAATTTGGTTTGAACATCTGTCAACTGTATTCTTTTGTCAAAGAGTTGCATTATAAATTTACAGTTGATAAAGTATCTTTTATCAATTATATTCAAATATTAAAACAAAGCGCACTAACATTGTGTTTCTCAATCGTAATTCAGATTCTGCCTTGTTTGGCTCATCTTCTGTGCGAAGAAAATTGCCACCATGTACAATAATGAAGGATAATGAGTTGATTGAAAGGATCTACATGAATTAGATGATGGCCTCTTTCACTTAACAATAGATTGGTTTGGAGGAAAAAAGTCTAGAAAAAACTTGTCTTTGTTTTACTATCTTTAATAACTTTTTGTCCTTTTCAGTTCTGAATTTGTGTTAGCTCTCAAATATTGGAACATGCAGAAAAAGAACTCATGGAGTTGAACCAAGACGTGCAGCGGAAAACTATTTGAATTCCACTGGTATCAGAAAAATCTATTGCAAGAACATAGCCCAAAACTTTGATGCACTATGGCTTTTTTCTTTTTGGTGGTAATGATTGTGGCTATCTTCCCCTACAAATGCACTTGTCAAGTTAGTATATTTTACTTAAGTTACCCGTGCTAGGTTGATTACTTTACTAGTTCTTAATGAATATCTATTTCTGTATTGAACAACTTGATTGAGGATATGTCTGACTATCTGGTTTGCTTGTCAAGATGTAAGGTTGTAAATTCATATATATTAATCAATATTTAAAATCTCAACCATCTCAAAGATTGTGTAATTTTTTTCTGCGTTCTGAGGCAGATAACAAATAATCAAACATTTAGGAAGTGTCCTATTTGATTTTAACTTGAAAATAATTGACAATATTTCGATTGCTAAAATGCATTTTTTGTGTATGTGTATGAGAGAGAGTGTGTGTGCTTTCAGCAAAAATGTAAGCTGTATACATCGGGATATTGAGAAGTTCTAATGGCCTTACTGATTAAATTTATTGTAATGATGCTACTGCCATCATTTAGGGATGTTATCATGCGAAGAAACTTTCTCACCAACTGAACAGGTTCTTCATGTGATACCTGGAACCCTGCCTTCTTCACAGATTTTATTCAATGTATTTCTCACTAACCATTCGTTAAGAATTGGTTGCTGAAGAGAATAAGCTTACATTTCAGTATTTTCTTTGACTCAGACACATTAGAGTTGGTTTCTGCCTAAATGCCAGTTTCAGACAGTTGTTTCATCTCTGTTGTTAGACAGTTGTTAAATCTCTTCTTTTTCTGGCACATTTCCCTCTTTTAATTGGTTCCATTTATTCAGATGCTAGTACTAAACTGCATGATTCCATCTACATGCATTTTGTATAAGACAAGCTCTGCTTTTTTAATTTCTTAGGATTAAATAGAAGAACCAGAATTCAAGTTATTCACCTCTCTGTTTGTTCCGAATACTTATTTTTGGTCTTAGGTGTCAGGCAAGGCACATTTGATCAGGCGCACTTGATTGTAAGGCAATAGGCTCAAGAAAAGCCCGCCTGATTTAAGTTCTCTCAATTTCTTTTATTTTTTTTCATTCACTGTACTATTAATGGTAAAAGAAGGGGACAATACCAAACTCTGTAGTTCTCAATGTTTGAGAATTCAACAACAAACATGTGGACCATAAGGAAATCATGCATATTGATCAACAAAAGGAAAAGAAAATTTTGCATGCTTTGTAGAATAAATTGGACCACTCTTTAGAGTTTATTATCAGAATTATGTCTTAAGCTTATTTTGTATATATACACAGACACACATACAAAAACACACTTATACACATTTCACCTTACTTCACTCAGGCAAGTGCTTTTTTTAGTGCCTTGCACCTATGCAATATAAGGGTTCTAGCGCCTAGAATGCTCCTTGTGCCCTTGACAACACTGAACGAGACAGTCATCTTCACTTTATTCCTCTGCAGATACAACATGGCTTCAAATCGTTGGCAAAAGGAATCCAGTGTACCAAGGAAACTCCTTACCAGAGCTCATTCGGCTTTGAATGGGGAGTTACATGTAATGACTATAGTAAATGGAATTGATTCAACAGAAACGTGAGGCTCACGGCAGCAGAAGAGGGGGAGGGACATTGTTTATCCAGATCTATCATCCTAGGAAGAAGACCTGGAGATGCCTTGTCACAAGGCCACCATTCCAACAACCATTGGATTTCAGTACCACACTAATATGCACAATTCGGTTGTAGATGTAAGAATATCTCCTGCTTAGTTCAGTTAAATATACGTAAATAGTCTGCCCATTCATATATGATGTCTGTTGATACTTTTGTTTCTTCTCTGTTTGTATTATACAGATTGATAAAGATATTGGTTCTCGTCCGTATGATTTTACGTATCTGGTAATTCTAAATCAATGTAAATGACCACATGTCATTAGATGCCACATGGATAGAAGAAACAATACCTTATGCAATTGAACTACTATGTTATGTCGTATTCCTTGTATCCTGTTCTTACTTTTTATTTCCAACATCAGTCGCATATTACCTGGAACCATATTAGTGGGAGAGTCCTTTTTGTGTGGTGTTATCCTTTATCCTTCTTCATTGAGATTGTTTGAAGGGTTCCAATCTAGCTGGTTGTCGAGACTTGCTTATTGAAGAAGGAAGATCAATGGACTGTTTCAGGTGAACAATGCTGACTTTGTCCAACTCTGTCCTTATGTATTGGTTGACTTATTTGTGACACCTGCTTGAACCTTTTTATTTTGTTCCTCTTTACGAAAACTAGTGTACAAAGGCCTGACTCTCCATAACTATCTAATAAAAAGGGAGCATAGCCTGTAACACCTAGTTCTGCTATATGCTTTTTAGTTTCACTTTCATAGTTATCTAGTTGTAGAAGCAAGAGTTCCAAGTTATTCAATTTTCTTTTTTTTTTTTGGATAAATAAAACCCATATCTACAGTTATTCAATTTTCTGTTGGCTCTATTTGAATACTTATTTTCGGTATTAAGTCTGCTAGAATCATGGTCTCTGTATTTGCACTACAGATAAGATACAGCATCAACTAGTGGTGAATGTAGCAAGTAGAGTTCATTCGGTTTTGTTGTAGATGGAGTGTTTACATGCAGAATTAGAATTTGATTCAACAGAAAACTATACGATCACCACAGCCATAGCAAGGAGGAACATATAAACCATATCTCTCTGTTAGGGTAGTAAAAGTATATGGTTCGCACATTATCTGTGATTTTGTCTACATTGATGCTGCTGATTCTTTTTTGTTAGTATCTAAAAATTGCTTCACGTTGGAAAATGCCTTTTGCATAGGTAAGCAAGCAATAAAGGCTAGCAGTCTTTTTATTTTTCTTCCATTAAAATCTACAGTCAAGTTCTAGGTAAAAGGATTAAAGATTTAGGCAAAAAAACACCAAACCATGCCCATGTTGAAGAAGTCATTTCTCGTTATCCCCCATTTGTAACGTGTCTTGTCTTCTTTTTCTCTGGTTGAAGATTCAGTCCCTCCTCATGATCTGAATTCTCATTTCCCAGTATATGCATTAAAATGTCGTGTAATGTGAAAGCATACCACAGAAAACCTGTGACTCAAATTTCAGACATATTCAAAGAATTAAGCCTTGGTAACTACGTTTCCTCCAAGATTTTTCATCTTCAAAAGTGCCCCAACAGGAAGCAATGGAATTATAAATACTCTCCAACCACGTGGCTATGTAGTCACAAGATTTAGTTCATGCTAATTGCTAATTAAGAAGGCAATAGGAAACTTCATAAATAAAAAATAAAAAATTTCTTCCAGGATTATTTTTATGCTGTAATGGCATGCTATCTATGTTAATATTAATAAAGCGAGTTGGTATCACAAGTTTACTGGATAAAATTGCTATGTATGCTATTTTTATATATTTCTAAAAACACTATAATTAGCCGGCAGATTTTGATGACAGGTTAGGAAATTTGTTGTCCAAAAGTTGATCCACCATGCTGTTCACGACCAGCACGACTCCATTCCAAGTCTATATATCTAATAGTAGTGATGAATTTTGAACTTATTTTGAATTTAATTAATAATTTAAATATTAAAAAATTATAATTATAATTGTCTTTTCTAATGATCTCTTTTATTTTTGG